TCTGTTTCGTTGCTATATTGGCTTAACCCTTATCTGGTTGGTTGTTCAATGTCGGTTATAAATGGTAATACTATATCAGAACCATTCCATGTCACATCTGGTGTTCCACAGGGTAGTCATATTGGACCATTATTTTTCTTGCTCAAATGTTTTAAGCTCTCGTATGCCGATAACTTCAAACTCTATTATGTAATAACCTGTCAAGAGGATGCATATTTTCTTAAAAAAAACTTAACCTTTTTTCAAAATGGTGCGCAACTATATAATCCCATGAGTTTGAATGCCAACAAATGCTCTGTCATTTCCTTTGATTACACCATTGTCGGAACATCTCTAGAGAGAGTTTCTTTTGTTAAGGATTTGGGTGTTCTCTTAGATTTGAATCTTATTTTTAATGATCATGTAGTATACATAAACTCCAAAACATCAAAATGCCTGGGATTTATTTTTCGTGCTGCAAAATAATTCTCAGATATTGACTGTTTGAAGACCCTGTATTGTTTCTTATTTTGCTCTACATTGGAGTATGCAGCTGTGGTCTGGGCTCCTTACTATCAGAACAGCATATATCAAGTAGAAGCTATGCAACATAGGTTTATTCGCTTTGCTCTTCGGCGTTTGCCTTGGAATGATCTATATAACCTCCCTAGATATGAAGATCGTTGTTAACTAATTGACCTTCTGGAGGTTTGTTGGAATGTCACTAAAGCTTCTTTCTGCAATGTTACATGAGTTGAATTTTGATATTCGTCGTTACACCCTACGTTCTCACCAATTTATTCGTATATCGACATTCCGTACCAACTATGAGCTTTTCAGTAGTATGTGTCGTGTGTTCAATTGTTGACTTTCATTTATCACGTTCAGTTTATAAAAATAGGTTCCGAGAAGCGCTCAGTTAGTAAGTTATAGGTAGTAGTAAGAAATTGAATAAGGTGATATTTTTTTTAGTCTTAATACAGTAATAAAGTATCATTTGAAATACACTGTTCTGTTGATGCTAAAAGATGAGAAGGTTTGCCAAAGATTGTTTGAATACGGAGGAAGTTGATGCCAAATCCCTGAAACCCGCAGGATGGTCTTTGTCAGCACTCTCCTTCGTTTCATTCAAGGTTGGAGTCAATCTGGAAATGAAGACAAAAGCGATGGATTCTTCGTCTTGGCCACAAGGTATCGAATTTCGGGAATTCGTTGAAGATGAAAGGAGAACGCAGAATTTTTGGAATCCGGTACTGCACATAGATTCTGGTCCAATGAGCAACGCCTAGAGTCAGCTGAACCAAGCACCTCGCCTAACCTAGCGTTTTGTGACCCTGCCAACATTCGCACAAATTGGACCGTATATTATCAAAACGTCCAAAGCTTGAGGACTAAAACTAACGCTCTACTCCTTTCGATGCTTTCTTGTGATTTCGACATGGTGGAATTCACTGAAACCTGGCTTCATACCGACATTACGAATGCTGAACTCGCAAGCAACTACACTACCGCTGTGACCGGAATTCTCGCACTAGCGCACTGCGACGTGGCGGTGGCGTCTTAATTGCCGTGAAATCCGAGCTGAAGTGTAAGGCTGTGTATCTTGTGGGCGTTGCGAGCCTCGAACAAATTGCTGTTCAAGTCGATTTAGAACATCAATCGATCTTCCTGTGCTGCATCTATATTCGACCAAACAGTCAGCCCGACATTTACACCAAACACGCTGAGTCCGTACAACAGCTCCTTGGTATGGCAAACCCTCACGATGCAACTATAGTTGTGGCCGATTACAATCTGCCAAATCTAGCTTGGGACTTCGATTAGGACGTCAGAGGATTTCTGCCTCTCAATGCTTCATCAGAACAGGAACTCACTGTAGTGGATTCCATACTGTCTGCTTCCTGGATTGGATTGAAGCAAATCAACGATCTGGTGAACACGAATGGTAAGCTTCTTGACCTGGTTCTCGTCAGTTGATTGTCACCACAAGCCGTTGGTTCTAAAAGTTGACTCCCGTTCGAGAGATCATCCGCTCCCGTACCTAGCAGCCCACAGTGAGTATAATTTTGCACAATGTGATTTCGATGTTGTTAACACGAGGATTGCCGCCTTGGATTGGGTACACATACTTGACCAACCCACCATTGATGCCGCCGTCTCCGTATTCTACGACAACATCTATAAAGTAATCCAAGATACTGTTCCGGTGAAGACACGAAAATCTTGTTTGCAATTCCAACAACCTTGATGGAATCCGCAATTGCGTAATCTGCGTAACCGTCTGCGTAAAGCTCAAAAACGTTACTTTCGTTCCCGGACCGCAGCAAACAAGTATATGGTGCAGCTAGTCGAAGCAGAGTATAATAGTTTGCACGAAGCTCGCTTTCGTGAGTACATTAACAACCTCCAGAAGGGTTTCAAGGAAAATCCATCGTCGTTCTGGTCTTTTATCAACTCTCGGAAAAGATCAGCTGGTATTCCCGTGGACGTCACCTACGGTAGTAGAAGCTCCACCACCGACACCACTTCTGCTGACCTTTTCGCTGACTTTTTCCGAAGTGTTTTCGAACCCGATCAAACTCCTCCACCGCAGCAATACATTGATCAGCTACCAAGATACGACGTTCACCTGCAGCAGCTCATCTTCAGCCAAGACGCTATTCTCAAAACCCTTTGCTCAGTCGATCCATCGAAAGGTCCAGGCCGGACCGTATTCCACCGTCTTTCGTCAAGAACTGTGCAGCATCGTTGGCCACTCCCGTTATGTCTATTTTCAATCGCTCGTTTAAGGATGGTGTTTTTCCGGATGCTTGGAAGCTCGCCTCAATTACACCAATCTTCAAGTCCGGTAACATGCACAAAGTGGAAAATTACCGACCTATCTCGATCCTGAACTACTTGGCCAACGTTCTCGAAAGTTTTCTGCATGAGAAGTTGTATCCAGCTGTTCAACCCATAGTCTCAGAGTTTCAGCATGGATTCATGAAAACGCGCTCGACAGTCTCTAACTTGATGACTTACACGAACACTCTTATAGGTAGCATCGAGAAGCGTCAGCGAGTTGACTCCGTTTACATCGACTTCTCTAAGGCTTTTGACAAAGTCCCTCACGACCTAGCCATTATGAAGCTAAACCGCCTTGGTTTTCCACCGTGGATCGTTTGTTGGTTGAAATCATACTTATCATCCAGGAAGGCTTTCGTTAAGGTACGTGATTCCAGATCCAAGGTATTCCATATACCATCGGGGGTTCCACATGGGAGTCACCTAGGAACTCTCATTTTCGTTCTGTTTATTAACGAAGTGTGTGATATGCCAAGTTCCTGTAAGTTGCTATATGCGGATTATCTTAAGCTGTACCGAGTCATCAATTCGATCGTGGATTGTTGCGCACTACAAGTTGATATAGAGTGATTGTCATCCTGGTGTCAGATGAATGGAATGCAAGCCAATGCTGCCAAATGCAAAGTGATTACCCTTACCCGCTCTCACTCTCCGATCATTTTTGATTACACTATGAATCAATCGCCGCTGGAAAGGGTTAATGCCTTTAAGGATCTTGGGCTCATCTTGGACAGCAAACTATGGTTTAACGAACACATATCCATGACAGTTGCAAAGGCCAACTACATGCTAGGATTTTTGCGCCGCAATGCTGCACAATTCGACGACGTGTACGCCCTGAGAGCGCTGTTCTGCTCTATGGTCCGCAGTGTTCTTGAATATGGAGTACAAATTTGGGCTCGTGGTACTGGCAGAAACAGTTTATAAAGTTTGCATTACGACGTCTTCCATGGACAAGTCCAGATAGCTTACCTCCGTACGAGCATAGATGTGCGCTTATTGGACTGCAAACACTAACAAATCGCCGAGTCTTTCTCCAGAGGATGTTCATATTTGACATGATTAGTATTCATATTGACTGCAGTTGTTTGCTCGGGAACATCAATTTCCACACTCCAGCTCACCGTCTCCGCAACTATTACTTTCTGTGGACTCCCGGACATCGTACTGCTTACGGTTATAACAATCCTCTCGATAGATGTTTGCAGACTGTTTAATGATGTGTGTGATGTTTTTGATTTTAATATAAGTAGACCAGTTCTTAAATAGGATTAAGTCACTTTAAACAGTCTGTATGGCTAAAATGTCAAATATGGTGGTGGAATAAATAAAAATAAATTTATGCCCATTTGAGAAAAAAAAAGCTTTTCGAGTATACTCCACTCAAATGGGCTCCATATAAAGAATAAGGAATGAATAAACCATAAACAATAAATACAATCAATGTTTTAAAATACAAAATATTTTTTAATCTATACATTTTTTTTCAAAAAAAATAATTAAAATAATAAACATTTATTTTATATTTTGATTTTGGAAATCGGACCAGTGGTTCAAAAGTTATAAAATTTTGAAAAAGCCATTTTTGAAAAAAAAACGGGTTTTTGGACCACCCATGGCCACCCTAATGACAAAATAAAAAATGCAGGTCTAATACGTTACGATAAGGAACAAAACTACCATTTTTTTACGAAATTCTGAGAACCACTATATCGTGTTGCCATGGAATGGCTGACTATGAGCTTTTAGTTGCGATGTCCACGAAAAATAAATATCTCTCATGGTTTTCTCATCCGACGATAGAAGTAAATCTTTATAAAAATTGGGTGTAACATTTCATTTGCCAACCCTGGCCTGGGACATCAGACATCATTGTAATACTCAACACAACATTGCTTCATTGCAGAATTTACACTTCCTCGGAAGGCTCAGAGCCCATCTAAATACTTTTTCCTGATTGGTTACCGCACATTTGCAATCGTCCCGCAAGCACAGCGTAATCCTACTGGGAAACAATCTCGCCTTGAGTATATTTACCCGATAATAACGCAAAAACGATAATAGGATTTCCAACCTTCCATCAGCACCGCTATGTCACAAACTCAGAACGAGAGTTGCTACATTGGAGTACCAAATAAACTATGTAGGGTAACAGTGTGTTCCATACGGTTACTTACCGGGAGTGGCTGATTTTTCGCACTCCAGCAGAGCGGTTTGAAGGATCCTTTCCGCGTTACGTACTGGAAACTTTTGAAGTTGTTCTCCCAGTCGTACGAGATGAGACGCGTCTCCAGCGTCATACCAGCGAGTTCCGTCGGGGATACAATTCGCACTGGATTGGAGCCACTGTTGGGAGATAAATTCCATGAGAAACGTTAGCGATTTGAATTGATTGAATGTAAACAAAATCAGTCATTTAATTACGGAGATTTACTTACGGAACCAGTTCGTTGATTCCCAGCGAGTGAAGTACCGTGGGTAAACTTGGCAACGAGTGGCACGTGGTTAGTTCTTTTTGCCTCGGGTAGTACAGAGTTAGTACCAAACAGGTCTCCTCCCGGGTTGTCAACCCACCGAGGGTAATCGCCGACCGCTTGGAGCTATCATATATACATTCCGCTATCAGTCGATCCCCAGGCAGGACCCTTACCGGTGAGTCCAGTCTCCTGTACTCCTGATAGTTGTAATCCATATTCATATCGTGAGCAATCGGAAGCAGTTCCTCCCGGTACCGGATCTGCCTCAGCTTAATCTGCCGTCCTATCTGGTGCGTTTTCATCATAACGGCAAACACGTTTATTCCATCCCTTGGAAACGCTTTCCGCGTGCATTCCCCCACGCAGTGTCCCTCGGACACAACATGCCCCTGGCCGGGTGGAATTATGTGCCTCCAGTTGGGATCCATTCCCACGGACAGCACCCCGGCATCGTGACTCCGCAGCGCACTGGTGTAGTAGATCTTCAGCCCCGAACTGTCGACCATCACCTTGGATTTCGCTGAGGGGTGCTCGTTAATATCCAAGCGGCTGCTGTAGTGCGTCTCCATCAGATAGAAACGGGCCTGATTCGAGTCCAACGGGTATCCGGCTTCGCTCGGGAAGGAGAAACCCTGGCGCATAGAAAACAATAAAAACCTGTCAATACCTCGCTGGCGAGTTTGATGGTGCGTGGTCCTACGGACCTGCCGAATAAAGCCTATTAAAAAGCAATAACTCAAATCGTATTTACTGTGCCCGCCCTGTGACGGGTGAGGTTTATTGTGCCGTTTCGGGGAAAACACATGTTCCCTTGGAAATCGGATGGATCGGGGCAGGAGTTTTTGATCGGACGGGTGGAAGTAGGATGGAATAAAAGTATGGCTGAAATTTGTAACCCATGTGATTCACAGTAATTAGCTTTGGCTAAATTTTTATCGAAAATGAACAGGACAGAATCATCTTGCTACCTACTATCAGAATTTCTATCAGAAGTTCTAGAGTTTAATGTTATCTCTTTAATGTGAATTACATCCAAGAAATGCAAGAAAAGAATTTACAATATTCTGGATAGGTCATTGCTGATGAAATGGGGCAAACAAAGCATTGAATAGCACCAAGGCCCTGTTCCGCGTCTCACAGTGGGCCAATCTGAAAAAGGACGGTCATAACCATTTTCTCACTTTCTTCGATGTTTTAGCGATTAGGTGTCTTGAGAGAAGTTTCTTGAAATGTGATTTTCTGAAATATCCATGTAAATTTTTATTAAGGTGGCATTACACTAACTAACACATCAAACTTTTTTTCATCAAAAGATTACATGTTTATGTCTTGAGAAATGTTGTAAAACTATGAATTTCATGAAACTTTACTGAAGACATCAATTTTCTGCGACATCAGTCGACCAGTGTTAAAACCATTGTTGTACTTTTCTGCATCATAAATCTTAACTTCTCTGAAAATGGCAGTTTCTGTCAGCAAAAGTTAACGTTGTTTTTCCCAATTGCCTTTTCGGACGTCTTCATTTAAAGATTGAGCAATAGATTCAGTGTGAAGCCGGTCCGTTCGTGGTGACGGTGTGAAAAAAGGTTTTGACTGTCTTTTTTTCAGAATGTTCCCACTGTGCGCCTGTTTGACTTCACCAGTGATTATAGAAACAATAAAACCGAAAACAAACGAGCAAATCAAACCTGCCATGGGAATGGAAACAGCACAGCCGTGGTTCATGTTTTTGTCAGAATTTTATGGTGTTTTGATTGATAATCATAAATGTTTTATATCTGCGGCTTTATCAAGAAGCATCGTAAACCCCCCATTGGTTATAACCGCGTGTGCTGAAAATTGTCATAGAAACGCTGCAAATAAACCAAGGTCTCACCTCCGAACCGCGGGTCCACGCGGCGACAATCGAATTGCAGGTCAGTATCGATCGGTTCGTCTGGTAGCAAGCGCGGCCAGTCTCGCGGGATAAAATCTCCAAATCCGGGGACGAGCCCTGACACTCGTGCAGGATGACGTGATTCAGGTAGGGCACGCTCGAGGCCGAATCAAACACCGGTTCGTACTGTAATGAAAGATGATGAAACAAAAAATCGGTCAATATCAGCGAAAAGAAAAAAAAAATAACCTCACAAATGCACTCAAATTTGAATGCCAGCAGCGTTCTGTCGTCCCAATCGTTCAGATCCAACGTCGACAACTGGACATTGATTTCCGGACGTGAGTTTTCCCACCCACTGGTCCGTGGGGTGGCTGAACTGAACACCCCACCAACGATGGTTTGCTTTCTGATTCTCACTGATTGATATGTTTAAAATTGTACCATTCGTTCGTTTCATTTGATCAATTTTAAATTGCCGTAATATTCCGCTAGCCCATGTCCCCCAGCTTCCCAGTCCCCAACATTGAAGAGAATGAGCACTGCTTTCGCAATTGAAGTAATCCACGTTTGCGTGCATGTGTCTGTGGCAAGCAGCGGATTTAAATCCGATGGAAATCGCATTCTTTGAGGTAGGTCACCATCGGTTGGGACCCATTCAACCGTGAGCGACCCAGCGAACGACAAAGCAAAAAGAACCAAAGCATGCCAACGTTGACTATCGTTTTCATTTAATTACATTTTATTTACATTCTCGTGATTTTGCAATTAAAAATATTTAACAGCAAACAAACGAATGTGAATTTTTCTGCGCGCTCGTTTTTCCCTCAATTCGTTTTTCCGCGATTGATGGTGACGTTTTGTCGGAGTTTGCTTGGGAGGGGATGGGGAAGGAGGTATGAGGGAGCGCCGCCACTTCGCAATTGTCGTTTTGTGCTTCGAGTGGTGGCAGCAGCAGCAGCAGTAGCAGAACAGATAATATCACCGGGAGTCACGTGCAGGTTGTGGAGCATTGTTGAATCCGATGCCGACTCCGATCTCTTTGGTGCTCCGGGAGTGGAAGTTTGGGGCAGGAGAACATTCATCAGTAGGACAAGGTAGTTTTTCTGCGCGCTCACACACACGAAACGGGTGAGGGCAGGGGAGGACGCGGTGTGGCGTTGGGGATAATACGACCATTGAACTCTCCCGGCTGGTACCAATAATTAAAATGGCAACCTACATATGTGTGTATGTACACATAAAGGAATGACTACACTGCACTACTAGCTAGCTTGAGAGCTCGGGAGAGAGATTGGAGAGTGTAAGCGCACCGTTTTGTAATGCTGCTGCGGGTCCCCGATTGTAATCGACTTGAGTGTCTCGCTCGACGTTCAAAAGGCACGCTCCGAGAGGGTACAGCGTAATGTATTTAAACGAACTGGTTGGCGGGTAAACATATTGCAATCAATCCACCTGGTGGAGTTAATATCGTCAGTTTTTAGAGTTTGGTTGGTGGAGTTTTGAAACTCGGATCAAAACTGATACAAATTGAATGGGGTTTGACATTATTTGAGGTTCTAGCAGAAGAAAGTAGAATACAAGAAACATTTCAATATGCTTTTATAAAGCAGATCTTAACGAAATTAATTCATTGTTATTCTGGTACATTCCGCTAAAAACGCTTTCCACGATTTTTCTGCATGATCTAGGTACAATATTTCCAGATGAAACTATTTAATGAGAACTTGGATGCTTCCCTGAGCAGTTCTCTTAAATGAGCTTCCAATGCATTTCCTGAATATCATCACACTTACAATTTCTTCTTCCTGGCTATGACCCTTTACGATCTTACGACTATTCTCAGCTTTGTGTTATTTGAAGCATTTCTACAGTTATTAATTGACAGCTTTCTGTGCCAACCAATGCGTGAATTTGTATACTGCTTGACAAGCACCACCCAAGCACATGCCGTTTTTTTTTTTTCCTTTGGTTTGTTTTTTCCGTCGATCTCGTTTTCCGTGCTGAGCACCAATGCTACCGACGTGCCAGGAAGGCAGCTCCCACACCTGGACCCTACCTATCGTCCCATCAATCAACTCATGAACCGGGGACCAACGGCTTTACTTCCCATCCGAAGGAAGGCGTGATCAGAGATGCTATGCCTCAGAACATCCCGGCGGCGCCGACTGGGATTGAACCCAGGCCTGCTGGGGTGAGAGGTAATCACGCTTACCACTACACCACCGACATGCCGTCTTGAATGAACTATATCCACCTCTTCAAGGTGGTTTGTTTAAAGAGACGATAATATATGGAAGCACCCAATCACATGTTCTATAACAGTTTACCTTTACCTTTACCTTTCTCAACATAATTCTAAGAATTTGTGTTACTTGGGCATGACTAGGAGCGTCTGAGCAACTTAGGTCGTGGTTACGTTCCTACTTGACTGGACGAACTCTTTGAGTACGACTAGGATTTTGTGTCTCTTCTACGGTTACCAACACCCCTGGAGTACCTCAGGGAAGTAACCTGGGTCCAATTTTGTTTGCGTTATTCTTCAACGATGTTGCAGCTTTGTTGGGAGTTAAATGCAAGCTCGTTTATGCAGATGATCTTAAGCTATACGTCATAGTTCATTCGATTGAGGATTGTCATCGTCTTTAAGCTCTGCTAGATTTGTTTGTGGATTGGTCTCGTCGCAATAAGCTCATCATCAGCGTTCCAAAGTGTCCAGTTTCACCGCGCTAAGAGTTCAGTTAGGACCGAATAGAACGTGCTTAGAAAAGATTTTTGAGGTTGACTTTGCGCAGTCTGCCGTGGCGCGATTCAATAAATTTACCACCTTATGCAGACCGATGCATGCTATTGGACCTAGACACATTGGAACACAGAAGAAAAATTCAACAAGCCTTATTTGTAGCGAAACTTTTAAATGGCGATGTGGACTGCCCTCAACTGCTTTCACAAATAAACTTCTGTGTTCCTCAAAGGATGTTGCGGCAATCATCCTTACTACAACCAATATTCCATCGGACTGCGTATGGATACCATGAGCCAATGTCTGCGATGATTGGAGCATTCTCCGCTGTGGAAGATGCATTTGAATTCGGAGAAACATTGAACCAATTTCGGAACCGATTGAGAAGATTGTGATTATTTTTGTAATATTTTATTCATTTAGACAAGTACTGTCAGATGAATTACAATAAATAAATAAATAAAGCATATATGCCCTGGGGACGGACATGGCGTAGTGATTAGCATCTCGAAGGGAAAAGGTCTAAGGGAAAAAAGATCGAATCACCAAAAGGTCTAATTGACAAACGGTTGATTGTACAAAAAGTCAAATTGAATTTAAAGGGGCGATAATGGAATTTTCGACCACTTCAAGTTGGAGTGATCAGTAGCTTTTATCTGGCAAAGAAATGCTCATGTTCATCATATCTTTCTTTCGGTGTGGTTACTCATAGCCCTAGCTTTATTTACTTGCTTTAATCAGCATATTGCCTTTTCGGCCATTTATTCTTTTTATTTTTTGATCCACTAATTGTGATTAGACCATTTATAGGTGACTATTATGAACAAACGAAGAGAGCACCAATGGGTAACCTTCTATCTCCTTTCTTGTGTGAACTGTTCAAGGATAAACTAGAGAGTGATCTTAAAGAGAATGGATTGCTTCCAAAACAATGATGGATATATGTAGACGATATTTTCAGCATTGTTAAGCGAGAATATTTGCCAATTATCCTAGAGGCCATTAACAGTGAAAATAGGGATATCAAGTTCACTTGTGAACAAGAGAAGGATGGAGGGTTTCCGTTCTTGGATGTTTTTATTATTAGGGACTCTACTTCACTGAGATTTGAAATCTACAGAAAGCCGACAAATACGAGACGAGTTATACCAAACACTTCCAGCCATTCTCACGAACATAAAGCGGCTACTTTTCACCATATTATCCAAAGACTAGAGACTTTACCACTTAGTGTAACAGGAAAGAAAAATGAGTTAGACTATATGTTTGAGACAGCTAAACTTAACGGATACCCGAGAAAAACCATCCAGGCTGTAATTGGAAAACAAAGAAATTACGAATACAAAAGATCTTTGACTACATTAACACCAATAACAGATAACCTACGACGAGTGTCTGTAGATAACAACCATTACTTTTTTCCTCTGTTTGGGACATAACACCTCTGCGACTAGTAATTTGATCTATTGTAGTATATCCCGTGTCCTTAGTTTAGTGCATGTCGTATAACTCCATCACTATCGAGAAATGATGAAGTATTCTATTTTATTACAGTTGTCATTCTTGCATTTATTGCATGTGTTCCTTTGATTACTGAAAAATCCTGTTCCCCGAGTTTGAAGTAGTCAAGACTAGGAATCGGCGTTAGATCTTACATCCCGTAACGAGATTAGGAAGCACTAAAGACCCACTTAACGATTTAGGAAAAGCAGAAGTTTAAAAAATATCCTGTTCCCAATGTGAAAAAATAAACATAGGGCAGACAAAAAGAACTTTAGACACGAGATTTAAAGAACATTTAGCAGAAGTGACAAAAGCTACTAAGGACACGGAAAAAGGTATTCTTTACCATTTCAAATCCAAAGTGGCTGAGCATGTATTAACTGACACACATCAATGGACAAAGGAGGACATAACAATTGTACGATGTATTACAAACCCTTGGAAACTTGACGTGGCTGAAAGTTTAGAAATTTACAAACAAAGACAAGCAACTGAATAAGGACCAAGGAAACAAGGACCAAGGACTATTACCTGCAACACGGAGTCAACCAGCCCTAACGACAGATTATGTACCTTAATAAACACAACACGCGTACCTGTACTATGTACTACTGACTACCTACACAACATCCCTAACGACAAATCCCATACCTGAAAACACAACATACATACATACACGCTACCCTAGCAGCACACTTGTCACTTAACAGTTGTGGTTACTTGTATGCACCTTATTTCAGTCACAATCAAGTTGCAGCAACCTATTTTGATGAATGTGTGTTGCTTGGGTACCTATACACGTTTATAAGGAATAGAAGCAATGCTTTTTCTTAAAGTCTATGACTAGCCACTGAACAAGTTTGCAAGTTGTAAACGAAATACGTATCTGTTGTAGTTGTTTGTAGTGATAGTGAAAGTAAAATTAGGCTATTTTTATGTT